TCCGCACACCCCGGGGCCCCTTTGGCCGGTTGCCGGCAGCGGGATTTGTTTGACTAAAGAAGGTTTGGGGGGTTTTTTTAAAGAATTTTTTATTCTTTTAAATTCTTCTTTTAAAGAATTCGAGTTTTGGGTCCCTGAACGTGTGTTTGGGACTCGTTGCTCTGTTCTCTCTCCTCCGTGCAGATCCTGGGCGGGTTCCCCTGCTCCTCTGGATGCCCGGGATCCAGCTGCTTCCTCCAACACAGTTTTCAGTGACTTACCACCACGTTTGCACCAATAAAATCACCAGGGGTCGTGTCCTGGGGGTGCACAGCACAGCTGTGCCCGAGGAAGATTGTCCCCGTTTACCTCCAACAGTCTGCTTGTTGTTTTTTATTATTCTGCTTTGAGAGTTTGCCTTTAGTGACCTCGAATGTGCGAGCTGACTTTTGTTGCAGTGACTCTCAAACTTACACCTTCTCCCCACAGAGAAGCTCCAGCATCAGGCGAGGAAAGCTCAGGATCTTCCAGCGCTCAGGGCCAGGACTCCAGAGCCTGCACTGTGCATGACAGGGGACTAAATAGTCTTCCCAGCCCTTCCTGAGCCCCAAATCTACATACAGATCCCTCCCCACCTCACTCTCCTCCTTCTGTTCTTGTGGGTTTTGTTGTGGTTTAACCTGGCAGGGCACTAATGACCATGCAGCCACTTGATCACTCTACCCCTGCCCCAGGGGATGGAGGAGAGAGGATTGGATGGGTGAGGGCAAGGAAAGTCAAAGGTTGAGATAAACACAATTTAATAATTGAAAAAATGAAATATTAATGATAACAGTAACTAAATAATTATAGTACTGATAATATCAATGACTGATTGTGGGAATATGATGGAAGAGAAGGATTGTAACACACCCAAGTGACTTGCAGCTCAGGTGTCAAAGACCACTTCTATCATAGGAATCATTCAGGCTTGTGTGCTTGGCAAGCAGAACATCTGCCTTTGGGTAACACAGGCCTGTGATAGACTCAGAGCCACGATATCGAACGTGCTTGAGCTTCCTGCCCTGCTGAGAGAAAGATCAAAGCACGGTGGAAAATCCCCGGTACACAGGTGGAAGCAGCAGGTTTGAAATCTCCTGCTCTCTCTCTAGCAAGGACCGAGCTCCGCAGTGCCTGGCTTCCCACTGGTGTCATTCCATCCCGGGTGCTGATTCGGAGATTCCTCGGTTCACGAGGGAACAAGAATAATTTTTCCCTCTGCATTTTCTCCACGAGTTTGTGGTTATTTGTGTGTCCTGCCTGTGCTGGCTCCAGCTCACACAGTGTCCAAGTGCACCTCGGTGATGGAGGATGATTATTGATGAAGGAGTCAGATTCATCACATCCAGCCCCGATATCAATGAACACCTGAATGGGGTCCTTTCTGTGCCTCTTGGGACCCCAAACAAGAGCAGATTGACTGTGTGTGTTCATCTTTCTTTTCCAATTACCACGGAGACAGCCCCAATACAGGACAGTGACGTTGTCCCTGATACAGGACAGTGATGTTGGCTCCAGTACAGAAAGGGAATGAGACCTTTTCTGCTCCTTTAGCAGCAGCAGAACCACACCAGCATGAACTGGTTGGGAGCTGAACAGCGTTGCCCATGCCAAGGGATAATGTCATAGAAAGAAGGCAAATGTACTTATTTTTCTTCAAACTTCCTAGCAAGAGCCTCCACTTCTCACCTTTCCTTTCTGTCTTCATTAAAAGGATCAGCAGGGTTGTTCTTCTGTAGAGAGAAAAGAGACAAAAACCATCAGAATCAGCCCCAGCACGCTGCCACCAAAAGCCCAGGGGTTACACCCACCATGACCAGCACATCCAGGCAGCAGCTCAGGTACCAAAAGCTGCTTTAGATCAAGCAATTCCAGACTGACCGAGCGTGACATCCCACACTGCCACCAACACATCACCTTTCTGAAGTGAAATTCCAGCCTAAAGAGTGAGATGCTGTGGCCTGACAAGACCCCCGGCCTGGATGCCACTTCTCCTGCCTGCGGGATGCCTGACCAGCCTCCTGCCACCTCTCAGCACCTCGCAGCCAACACTCAACCAGCCTTCAAACAGGAACCCTGGACAAGTCTTCGCCATCTTCAGATACAACATCAGCTCCCCACAGCCCACCAGGACACTGACCTTGTTGTCTCCAGAAGAACCAGCTTTGACTTTCTCTTGCCAGCTCTCCAGAAGATCTGGGTAGTAAAATTCCGGACACTGCCCCACACTCTCCGCTGCCACCGCGGGACGCGGCCACCGTGACCCGACTCAGGGGTGGCAGAGCTGCTGTGCCAACAGCACCGGCTGGTGAACCCCTCAGCACCCCAAGAGCCACCCTCCTTCCCTCCCTCCCTCCCTGGGGACAAGGGGCAGTGGGTCAGGCAGTGGGGCAGCGGTGTTGGGGGTGAGGAAGAGCTGTGGGGCCGCGAAGGAGGGGAAGGAAGGGGCAGCCCCAGAAGCCCCAGGGGCAGGAGGAGCTCTGGCTGTGGCATCACCCAGCTGGGGACAGCCCTGGACACCACAGGGGGACCCTCCCTCTCCTCCACACCCTCCTCCAGCTCTGACACACCGGGGCTGCAACAGCTTCTACTTTTATTATCACAGTTTAATACAGTCCTGGAGAGAGGAGAAGCAGCAGGAGCCAACGCGCAAAGCAATTAAATTCACCGGGGGCTCAAGAAAGATCCTCCACAGCAAAACCCAGGGAAGGAACTGCTCTTTCACAACAGTGACACAGATGTGTCCCCAGGAGCCCGATTCCACATGTGCAGCTCCTCCATCACGTCCCACAGTGTGACCAGTTCATCACAGACACCAAACCAACACACAACAGTGAGGAGAACGGGGCTGGTCTTTTGTCTTTTGATGAGTCAAGTCAGTTGTTTGACTAGAGTTTGCTAGAAATATGCTTTGAAACCAGAAGCTTTAAATCTTGTCCCTGTTGAGAGTCTGCAGAGAGGAAGGATCCTTCAGGAAGAGGCGATGGCTTGGACAGCAAGTCAGGAGATGAAGCTCAGCTATTTGGCTGCAGTTTCACAGAGCTGGGATCTCATGGAGTCAACAGATCTTGTTCAATGCCCGTGATGGATGTTGAGGTGAAAGGTTTCCAACAGCCCAAGAGAAATCGTTGCAAAGGAGGAGAAATGGAAGTCCCCGTGAAGAAAGAGGTGCATGGGGCCAGGCAGTGGAACAAAACCCACCCCGCTCCCTCCCAGCAGTTCATCTGCAGAGACATTATGTCCTCCTGCACCTCTTCCTCTGGCAGGCCTCTGCATCTGAGCCACACGAGCTGTCCGAGTCGCTTCCCGATGAGGAGGAGGAGGAGGAAGAGGAGGAGGAAGGCTTCGATGTGCTATAGTTCATGCTCAAGACCCACCCCAGTTTGTTGTGCAGCACCTGCTTGAGTCCCGGTGGCAACGGCAGCACCTCCAGCGTGTCCACGTAGTCGGGGAGGAGCTGGCGCAGGCGGTAACAGCAGAGGTACTGGAGGGACGTGCAGCTGGCGCAGGAGCGGATCACCTTCATGCTGCTCTTGGCCGCCGTGGAGCACACCATGGGGTAAAACTTCTTGTTCTGCAGCTTCGTGGCTGCAACCCCTGCGGGGAGACAGCATCAAGGGGGGGTCATGTTAGTTCTGATGAGGGGATCTCACTCCTCCCAGCCACCCTGAGCCTCTTAACTAGAGAGCTGGGGGGAAACCTTCCAGGTTGCCCAAGGAAGTTGTGGATGCCCCCTCCCTGGAAGTGTTGAAGGCCAGGTTGGATGAGGCTTTGAGCAACCTGGTCTAGTGGAAGGTGTCCCTGCTGCTGGCAGGGGGGTTGGGACTGGATGATCTTTAAGATCCCTTCCAACCCAAACCATTCTATGAACCCTTGGCAAATAGCCCTGTGAAACCCCAAACTATTCAACGAATGTGACCTTCCTCCCACTCACTTCACACCTTGGTCTTCTACTTTGCCGGTCGTTTCTCCAGCAGCCCTGCTGCCCCCAGACTCCCAGTTCAACCACAGCTGCGCTGCTCCCCGCTCCCAGTCCCTGTCCCTGCGGCCGCTGCGCCTGCCCTCGCTCTTACCAATGCACTTGCGGTTTTTGAAGAACGTGAGCGTCCCGTGCCACGTGTCCAAGTGCACCCCGATGATGGAACCTTGGCCAAACCTCGATGAGAAGTTTGTTTTGTCCCCTTTGTGATGCAGGAGTCCTTAAAACAAAAAGAAAACAAACAAA